ATTTCCTCCAAGAACACCATGCTTCTTAATCCTTCCCAAATATTTCTACCAACTAGGGACCAAGTATTCAACCATATGATCCTGTGGGGGCCATTCTCATTCTAACTACATAGGATGTTTGAATAAGCCATAAGGAATTGTTATTTTTAATTTACTTATATATAATAATAAAAATATATGTAAATAATATTTATACAAATTATATATTGTTTATATAATAACATATAATATGTTATATATAATAATATGTATATAACTGTATATATAAAATCACATAGATGTATATATAGTTTAAATGAAGTTATGCCATTTTGACTGATACTGCTTGCCCAAGAGCCACAGACTATATAATAAAAATCCCAGTACCAGGCATAAGAAACCCCATTTTTGATTTGTTAGTCAGAAGAGTCCAAGATGCAGAGGATCTAAGTGCATCTGGCTTGAAAGCTTCCTTCCTGGGGACTAACTTCATAACACAAGAAGGTGTTATGAAATCTTCCAAGGGCAAGAAGCCTAACAATGACCAGCATGACAAGACATCCCTAAGAGTACAGTAGTGGCACTCTTGTCTTGGAAGTAACCAACAGTTCTCTAAGTGAATTTATGGCCTGCTCAACAGAAGGGAAATCATGCCTGATACAGTAAACCTACCACCTACTTAGGTTAGTGAGGTCATGGATCTTAGAGTAGAACCTACTACTCTAAGACATCGTAATTCCTAACTGCACTGTAAGTATATCCTTAAACCCATGGATAATTATAGCTCTTAGTACTCATGAAAGGAACTTCTCTTTGCAATAGACAGAGAACATTGCAAAGAACCACAACCAGCCAAAATGCAAAGAACAACTGGTTATGGGGTATCCAGCCCCAACTGATGGATCCAGGCTCAGGAAATACTGAGGAAGAGGGGTTAAAAAAAGTGTATGAGCCAGAGGACCAGGAAATCTGCAGTGAGATTATGTCTTCCAGAAATGTCATCTTGACTACATCTAGGCACACGTGTGAGGAATTTTTTTTTTCTTAAACATTTTTGTGGCAGACTATATAGAGGACATGAAAGAATAAAGCTATTTGCTCCTTTCTTGCTTTCCCTCCCTCTGGCTGGCAAGTCCATTCCTTTACTGGCATTAGAACCTATTTCTCGGTGTATACTGAAGACCAGCTGAGACATCCAGCCTTGTGGATTAAAATTCCAGGTTCTGGGACTCTCCCTTGGTAGACTAGCAGGACTACAGGCTGTAAGCCACTCTAATAAAACACATAACACACATATACATAATACATACACACATATATACTCATTCTATCACTTCTATTCCTCTAGAGAACCCTGACAAATATATCTACCCAACAAGTTCCAAGACACCCAGGAATATATAGTGAGACTCTGTCTCAAAAAAAAAGTTTCTATTAGGTGTAGTTAATGAGAAAACATTAGAATGATGCTTTAGTCTAGGACATCAGGAAAGAAGATTCTTTGTCAGATGTTTGCTTCACATTAACTTGATGGGAGATGTCATTCTGTAAATATATTTCTCTAATTGGTTAATGAATAAGGCACTGTTGGCCAATAGGAAAGGAAGATAGGTGGGACTAGGAGACAAGGAGGATTCCAGAAGTAGTAGGGAGGAGATTGAAGATGGAGGATGGAGAGAGAAGAACGCCAGCCCCTCTCTCCGGTAAGATAAGACCATGTGGAAGTACTTAGATTAATAGAAATGGGTTAATATTTAAGAGAGCTAGCCGATAAGAAACTAGTAACTGGCCTACAGCTTTCTATCTAATACAGCATCTCTGTGTGTTATTTGGGGCTGGCGTGGCAGTGGGCCCAGGCTGGCAGGAAAAACCCCCACTCTTAACTATTGAAGACAAATAGTTATGGTTATAGTTTTCCTTAGTTAGGATTAAAGAGAAGTCATATATAGGACTTTAGACTCACAAAGATAGATGATAAAATATTTTCTTTAAATCTTGCTAAATGTTTATGTACTAAATATTGTTAACTGTGATTCTTATTTGATAACTGTTGTGTGATATATTTTGCTATGCTAAGGTTAAAACCCTTCTTTTTATTTTAGACAGAAAATAGGAGATGATGGGAGATGTCATTCTGTAAATATGTTTTTCGCATTGGTTAATGAATGAAGCACTGTTGGCCAGTAGGAAAGCAAGATAGGTGGGACGAGGAGACTAGGAGGAGAGAGGAAGTAGTAGGGAGGAGACTCAAGATGGAAGATGGAGAGAACAGAACTCCAGCCCCTCTCTCCGGTAAGATAAGACCACGTGGAAATACTTAGATGAATAGAAATGGGTTAATATTTAAGACAGAGCCAGCTGAAAAGAAATGCTAGTAACAGGCCAACAGAATTATATCTAATACTGCATCTCTGTGTGTTATTTGGGGCAGGCGTGGTGGTGGGACCAGACTGGCAGGGGAAAACCTACTCTTAACATTAACTCCTCATGGCAAGTCAGGCATTACTTCCCCCTCAAAGACCAGAAGGCACATGACTAAGGCAGGTGGTTTCAGCACTTACCTGAGAATTCACAGGGGCAAAGTCTGCCTTAGCCTGTTCTAACTGCCCCGAAGACCTATCTAAGCCACAAGATTGACACTCCCAGAAGAACAGAGGGCCACTGCATTTGCCAAACACTAAGTGCTTGGCAGGCAGTACAGGCTTTCCTAAGTATCGATGAGGACTACAAAAGCACAAAATCCTGCCCTCCTGGAGCTCATAGTCAGCCAAAGGGAGACAGGCACTCAACAAACCAGAGGTGCGATAGAGTAAGAGCTATAGGGGAAGCCTTGGAGGGTGCAGAGCGTGGACACAGTCAAGGAGCATGGCACACAGAGAACAACAGCCTCTGACATGTTGCCCTCTAAGCAGAGATAGGAGGCAATACAAATACAGGAGTGTGTCTTGTGTGTCCAAGAGACAGTCATTACAGTTACTAGAACTTTGTTGCTTGAACTCTGGGAGCCAGGGTACAGAGGACTATGACAGTGTCTAACAGGAAATGGGGTGGGGGTGGGGCAGAACCTAACAGCATCTTGGGTCATGAGGAGGGCCTTGCTTCTCACTCTATCAGCAGAGAAGTGACATGCCACATATGTTAACAGGACTCCTCTAGCATCTGTTGAGAGAATACGGAGTACCAAAACGAAACCAGAAACCAGAGTAGGGAATGATGGGACTTGGCTCAGGAGGCCACAGAAGAGGTAAGTGGATTCAGCTAAAATCTATTCCCAAGGCAGAAGGAATGAATGGCTTTTCACTGCTGCATTGTGGGGACATGAATAAAGGACCTCTCGTGGCTGATGGCAAGGACTCAGGTTTAAGCAATCTAAAGGGAAGAGGAACCATCCACTCAACTAAAAAGGGTAGCTCAAGGAGGAGCAGATTAGGAGATTATGGAGATGGAGACAGGAGTTTGAATTTGGCTAGAACACATTACACTTAGGGTGGCATTTTGACACTCAGGGCAGTGAGAAGGCTCCTGATTTTCAGTGGGAATCTATATACCATTCACAGAACAGAAGCTGTCACCTAGAGAATGGCTCTGACAAGGGCAGCAGTCCTGTTATCTGGGAGTGTGTTAGAAAAGAGGGTGTGTTTTTAGATGTCACCGTGATTAGATGCGGCATTGGTGTGGCAGGATCATGTGTGACATTTGGCAGGGTGGGAAATGTATGTATTCTATGATCACATGACAGTTTTGTACAAAAAGCCCTCTTCCCCATTTTCTGCAGATTCTTTAGACATCACCATATATGGAACATTTTTTGACCCTCATTTGGGCCTATGGCCTCCCTTACTGTTAGACACAAAGATGAGAAATTTGCCTCACAATTCTACGATGCTCTGACTTTGCTAAGAGCATGTAGCTATCATAATGAAAAGGGAAGCTGCACTCTGGCTCAGAACATCCTGAAAGCATTCAGCATTTCTCTCTCGGCAGCATCCTTTGTGGTGTAGTGCTGGTGCCCTTTGGGAGCACCATGGGACCTTTGCCTAGTCATGCTTGGGCACTGCAGATAGAAATGCAGGATACTTAACACTCCCTTTTAGTCTGCACTCAGGTTAGTATGTTGGCTTTTTGAATGCTTACTTGCAGTTAGCAATACTGTCTATGAGTTTCATCCTAGAAAAGAAGGGCTGTAGGTTGTTCATAGGAAGAACCCTGAAAGTGAGTGAACGTAGCTGGAAAAAAAGCAGAACCCGAACTCAGGCCTGCCCTATGTTAGAAGCCAAGGGGATAAGGAGGAGGGAGGAAAATGCAAGTGGATTGCAATCCCTGGGGGAAGGCATTATCAACAGTGTAGCCAAGTCAAGCAAGATGTGCTGGTTTGAAATAAAATGGTTCCCATAGAGAGTGGCACTATTAAGAGGTGTGGCTTTGCTGGAGTAGGTGTGGCCTTGTCAGAGGAAGTGTGTCACTTTGCCTGTGGAGGGGCAGGGGTTTGAGGTCTCCTATGCTCAAGCTCCTCTGTTGTGGAATACAGTTCACTTCCTGCTGTCTGCAGATCAAAATGTAGGACTCTCAGCTCCTTCTCTAGCACCATGCTTACCTACATGCCACCATGTTTGCCACCATGATGATAATGCACTAAACCTCTGGAACTGTAAGCCACTACCTCAATTAAATGTTTTCCTTCATAAAAGTTGCTGAGATCATGGTGTCTCTTCACAGCAATAGAAACCCTATAAGACACAAGGGTTGGGATGGTTATACATGACCCTGACCCCCATTGAGAGGAGCCAGGGTACCCACTTAAGCTAGAACAGAGGGCCTTGAGTACTGCATTAAACATCTCACATATTTCTTCTTCATCCTGGAGCACCCCACTGTCCCCCATTTACTTCATTCCCTTAGGCGAGGACTTGCTGTCTCTCTGGGTCCCCTCCTCAGGTGCTGCTGGGGTTTGCTACTGCCCCCTCCATCCCCGCCATACAAGACACTGAGCATCCTCACAGCCCTGCCCTGAGAGTTTGTACCTTACTAAGCCGAGACTCAAAGGCCAGTGAGGTTGAAGACTTGGAGCTCTTCATGCCGGAAGGGGTCCCGGGGAGGGGCCGAGTGCGATCAGGGCCATGGCTGCCTGCTTTGGTAACTGGACTCCAGGGCTTGGTGGCACTCCGCATGATGTCCTAGGGAGAACTTCTCTCTGTAGAAGGTTAAAAAGGAAAACACTTGTCTCCAGAACTGTACTTGTGAGAGACATCATAAAGCTTTACAAACTCTATTCACCAAGCTCTGCAGTTGCTACCACAGAATGAGTGTTAGGATATAGCCATGTATGGGACACTCTGTTCCAAAGATGTGACTTCTGCATACTGCTCATTTAAATACTCCTGAACAGGCATTTACCAATGTATTAAAATGAATATGCAATATGATTGATAATACTGATATTGCTTTTCAGCAAATGATACTTTATTCCTGTTTGTGTCACACTACACATCTGTAATCACACTAATTACACACACATGCACGTGCGCGCACACACACACACACACAGTCTGACAGCTTGTTGTATCATGATATAAATGCCCCCAAGGCATGCAACTTTAGAACTATCAAAACAATCTCCTAAATTTTTAAACACATATAAATGAATTATTTGAGAGTTAGATTTCACAGAAATACAAATGGCTCCTTTTTTGATAAAAATGGATACACCTTAAAAATTAATAAAGCACATTTTAATTGGTCGGGCCTGACATGCAGGGTTATTTCCCTAGTTAAATAATTTATGAAAGAAAAAAATTGTTCAAAGTATTAGCCTGTAACGCTGTTATTCACATCTTTAACCCCAGTACCCTGGAGGCAGAGGCAGATGGGTCTCTGTGAGTTCGAGATCGGCCTGGTCTATATAACAAAAGCTCCAGGACAGCCAGGGCTATGTAGAGAGACCAGTCTCGAGGCAAGGGGAAAGTAGCAGACTGCTGGTAAAGACCTGGGAGGAAGATTGAATATAGAGACAGAAGAGCTGGCAGCCGGGGTCCAGCTGTCAACTGTCATTCATGATCCCCTGCTCAGCCTCCCACACTCAGCCTCACCATCAACAGCATCTCAAGGTTGCATCAGAAGTCCTGGCATTTTTCTCCCACCACTTTGCCTCTGTCTATCCCTGTGGGCTCTGGTCTGACATAAGGTTCTAACCTTTCAAAGAACACCCACAGAAGACAAGCAATTCCAGAAGCCACTCCCACAGGGCACAAGGCTCTGGTTAACCTTAAGGGGTGGTAGCTGGATGCTCTGTAGCCCATCCCAGGCTGCCACCACCTCATGTTCCTGTCCCTTCTCCCTGACCAGAAGAAAACCTTTCAGCAGACATTATCTGTCTCTCCAAGAGTCACCTGGCTCCTCTTCCTGTTTAAGCAAAGTGATGACATAGAGACACGTGTCCTATCTAGTTGGTACTCTCTGCAGCTATGTGGATATGGCTAATGATGGACATTCTTTATTAGAGATTCGGCAGCACTGCTCGAGCAAGTGCGTGTGCATAGCATGAACCAGGTCCTGGGTTCCATCCTAAGACTGCTAGAAACATATGTACATGCCTGCATGGGAGCTCAAAAGCATGAGCGCGCGCGCACACACACACACACACACACACACACACACCCACACACACACACTGCTAAATCCATTATTGGTAAAGGAAAGGAAGAAAAAGGACTAACGTGTTTTCCATAATTTTTCCTGAGGAAAATGACAGAGGATTTCAGTTACATGATTCACTCAGTACCTTCTCAGTCCCAGCTTGGTTCCAGGTCTTGTGAGTTCTTAAAAATTCAGTATTTAAAAAGAAGCAGCTTACTGCCAATGATTTTGCTGATGTTTAACACTGATTATTTTTCTTTTTCGACCCATGCTTTTTCTTTCTGGTTTCCACAGCAACAGTGAAAGAACACTTAGGTTAAGACCTGTGCAGGGACTGGTTTCACCAGGATGTCTCTCTCAGTTTAGAATGAACTAACGCAGCCCTAGTGAGTCTTCAAGGGAATCCGTGAATTTTTGCCCCCAACTATGAGATAACCAGGACGATGCCAGGCTGACTCATGGAGATCATTTAAATAAAATACCCACTTGACCAATATCCCCCTTTGTGCTAAGAACTACTAAGAAATAAGCCTGGGAGGCCTTATTTGTGAAAGTACTAGGTGTGTGCTTTCCAAAACTGGCCAAGGTTACCCTTAAAATGAAAATGCCTTTAACCTACTCCCAAAAAAGAAAACCATGAAGCTAGAAGCAGCAGGAAAAGGATGGACATTTGCCCTGTCAATCATTTTCTTGACATTTTAGGAGGACTCAATCAGTTAATCAATCAATCTTGATCCAAATTCAAACACACAAACTCAGCTCTTAATTTTCTGGTAACAGAGCTGAGGGCCTGCATGGAGTTTAACCTTTTTTATTTTAAAGTTAGCAGGTTGCTTGCTCTGTTGTAAAAATCCTCTGGTCACTTCTTGCCACATCACTTTCTGTGCTCTCCTCCGATGTTCTGAATTTGATAGTTATTCACAAATAAATGTCCCCAGGCAAGGCATCCACACTACCTTTTCTGAGTCTGCCATTCTTTTCCCTTATAATCTTTTTTCACTGGATGTGGCTGTCCCTTCTGTACTTACCCACCTGCCAACCTCTTTTCTTCCAATACATCTTTCAGAAGTCAAAATGCTCAATGATGAATCATTAACTTCCTACCCACTATAACCAAGAGTCATTCCCCAATGATGAGAGCAGGATATCAAAACTGGTCAGGCAGTTTAGGGATAGAAATCACCATTCTTGTCCTGGACCATAAGCCAGCAATGTCTGGTTTTGTCCTGGCTAGAGGCCAGAAATGCCAGAAGTGGGCTCTGTTTCCTGGTCTGGTTTCTTATTAGTTTTCTTCTCCTTTTACATAATTGGAATGAACCATAGATGCTATCTGTGAAGGCATAACCAAAACAACGAAGCATCTAGACACCTTGTGGGTAGACCAATTAGACTGACCAGTTCACCTCCCCAAGCAGTTGCTGCTCTAAATCCTTCAAGAAGCCCTTAGCCTGGCAGCTTGGTGGTGTTCCATTTTCTAGGACCCCCTTCTGCTACACAGGAGTCCTGCCTTCCTTTCCCCCCCCCCCAAGTTCCCACCTAAAATCCTATACTAACACTGCTTTCTAAACTCACTCTTCCATTGTCTGTGAATTTCACTCTTTGAGTTAATGAGAAAAGGGACCTGGAAGCCACTGGTTTGGGATAGGGCTGCTGATCATTGGTTTTTCTGGTACCTTAGTGCTACGAACCAGGCACAGGTGAGGTAAGAAATCCTTCATCACTTTTAAGGACCTCCACCACTCTTGGTTTCACAAGTGCCAGATGGGATGTCCAGGAGTGACCTCTCATGATCATCAGCACAGAGAAATGACAACAGCTCTGTGAGATCAAAACAGTCACAGCAAGGAGTGTGTGAGGAAGGAGGATGAGTCCCTGGGTGCCTCCGATGGAAAGGCAGCCGTGGTGTCTGTCCCCCAGGCTCCATGTCTTAAGAACTCACTAAATTTCACCTCGTCCTCCACTCCAACCCTGATGAAGGTCCTCTCTCTGTATCCTGGAACCCTGACAGTCCCTGGCCACTCCTAGCCTTGGACTCTTCTGAAACAGACTTGAGAGAGATGTATCCCCTGAGCTGTCTGTATAGCTCAGGCTAACATTGGTCTTGCCTCTTCCAGGGAAGCCTCCTGCTGGACAGGGAGCGAGTACACTACGGGTCCATCCTGTCCACAGGCTTCCATCCAACCAACCTCCCATTGCTTCTATCACCATCCGCTCAGCACTCACCCTATTCCTGGCTCTCTGACACACAGAACCAGCTGGTTCCATAAATGCTACAGTGACCTGATAGCTGCTATGCCATTCCACTTTGAGTAGAAGGAGCTGGCAAATGCCCCATGTGGATGGCTCCTTAAATTTCCCCAACCCTTGGAGGTGTTGTTTTGTGCTATAGTCAGAATCTTGGGTGTCCCCCAAATTCACACGGTGAAACCAAAGCCCCAGTGTGGTACTGTTGGGAAGTGGAACATCTGGGAGACACTAGGGTCAGGGGAGCCGAGTCTTTCAGAAAGGACCAGTGTCCTTACAGAAATGGCCTGAGAGAGCATTTTTGCCCTTCCACGAAGTGGGGAGACATGAGAAGGTGACAGCATGCACCAGACAGAGAGCTCTCATTAGACACTGAATCTGCTGGCCCTGATCTCAGACTTGCCAGCCTCCACAACTGTGAGCAGTAACTTTCAGTTATTCAGCTCTAACAAACTACAACCCTCCCGCTATATAGAAGAGGAAATTTCCTTTGACTCAAGGAGGTTGAGCTGCTTGCCTAGAACACAGAACTCATCTCTAGCCAAGACTGAAACCAGGTGTGGACAGGCCATCCGAATAACCTCTGTCCACATGAGAAACAAGAGGTCTATGGATCAAAGCCCCCAGAAGGCCTAGCTCCTTGATGACTGGGAGCCTGCGCATGTCTGAACTCTATGCCTCTCATCATCAGAAAGCGTGACCAGTGGAGACTTCACAAACAATGAAGGTCTGAAGAGAAGATGTACATCACATGCAGGACACACAGAAGACTCTTCACAAATACAAGCCACCTTCTGGCAACTATGTCAACCCAGTCATTACTTATTAGCTCGACAATGCACAGCCATGGATCAATTAAAGCTTCAGGACTTGGGGGCTGCCAGGAATACCAGGCAAGTATTCCTTCTGTGCACAGAACAGCCTGTTTTCATCTGGAAATATGGACATGGAGAAGTGGAGAGGAAAATAAACACAGAGGCGGAGGCCTTACAGTCTTTGGTTCATTTTTAGAAAATCTGGGCTGCCACAAGATAAACACAGGTAGGCACACTTGCTGAGTAATGGCTCTCTTCTAGATGTGAATTAGTAACAGGAAAGAAATAGGTGGCCTCTGGCCAAGCACAGGGTAGCCAGATGGGAACAAGAAGAGTTTCTAGTCTTAATTTTCTGAAATCTTGAACTCCTCCTAAGCAATACAAAGGACCAAATCAATGAACGAATTACCATGGGATTTAGGAACTCATTCGAGAGAAGGAATGGGAGAAGGAAGGAGGGCATGGGGGAAAGGTCTTCCCAGGGGGGCTTTCAATTTGA